CTATTCCAGGACTTGGCCAAGCTCTGCTCCGGGGCCTGGCCCTGCCCCCTCTGTGCCTGCCAGGATTTTTGTGTCAAGGACATTCCAGAACATTCCAGGGCTGGCCCAGGGCTCTGCTGTCCGGGGAGTTGAGATAAAATCACAAAGAAAGCTGGTGTCACCTGTGTGTGTGTGTGACAGGGCGCCACTGGGCTGGCATCTCCACAGCCTGGGCTGGCATCTCCAGAGCCTGGGCTGGCACTGGGCTGGCATCTCCACAGCCTGGGCTGGATCTCCAGAGCCTGGGCTGGCATCGGGCTGGCATCTCCACAGCCTGGGCTGGATCTCCAGAGCCTGGGCTGGCAACTCCAGAGTCTGGGCTGGTAACTCCAGAGCCCAGCCTGGCATCTCCAGAGCTTGGGCTGGCATCTCCACAGCCTGGGCTGGCAACTCCAGAGCCTGGGCTGGCACTGGGCTGGCATCTCCACAGCCTGGGCTGGCAACTCCACAGCCTGGGCTGGCATCTCCAGAGCCTGGGCTGGCATCTCCAGAGCCTGGGCTGGTAACTCCAGAGCCCAGCCTGGCAACTCCAGAGCCCAGCCTGGCAACTCCAAAGCCCAGCCTGGCAACTCCAAAGCCCAGCCTGGCAACTCCAGAGCCTGGGCTGGCATCTCCAAAGCCCAGCCTGAATTCTCCAAAGCCCGGTCTAGCACTGGGCTGGCATCTCCCCAGCCCAGTTTGGCACCCTGAGGAGCAAGGCTGGGCCTAAAGCAGTGCTGGGGTGCCCCAGCCTATCCTGGCACCTCCCCAGCCCAGACTGGCACCCTGAGGAGCAGAGCTGGGCCTAAAGAGGTGCTGTGTGTGCCTCAGCCCAGTCTGGCATCTCCCCAGCCCAGTTTGGCACCCTGAGGAGCAAGGCTGGGCCTAAAGCAGTGCTGGGTGCCCCTGGCCATGCTCGGGTCGGGTCCCCCTGGCACCCCCGGGGCCGGAGCCACCGAATCCCCCCAGGATGGGCCCCAAGGGGGAAATTGGGGCGGGGGAGGGGCAGCCCTGGCACGGGGGGGATGGGAGGGAGAACTGAACCAGGAACTGAGCTGAGCTCAGCCTGGGCTCAGGAATTCCAGCCCTAATCCAGGAACTGAGCTCAGCCTGGGCTCAGGAATTCCAGCCCTGATCCATGAGCTGAGCTCAGCCTGGGCTCAGGAATTCCAGCCCTGATCCATGAGCTGAGCCCATCCTGGGCTCAGGAATTCCACAGGGCTGGACCCAGCAGGAGTCTGCAGGAACTGATCCTTTTATTTAGGAAATCCAACTCTGATGGAAATCTGTGATCTCCAAGGATCTGCAGCCGGGAATTCTGAGCCTCCCCCTGGGGGGGGCTGCCAAGCCTGGGGGTGTCCTGAGAACCAGGACAGAGCCTGGGAATCGTCCAGGGCTGGAGCAGAGCCAGGACTCGGAGATTGCACTGCTGGGATTCCGGGATCGTGGGCTCTATGGCGCCTTGGTTTTGGCATGCTGGGATTTGGGGATGCTGTCCCTAAGGCAGCTTTGGTGCTGTCTTTGGCAGCCCCGAGCTTTCAGCTGCACAAACAATTAGCAGCTCGCTCTGGGGGCACCTGTCCAAGGAGGCTCTGGTGTTCAGGGAAAACACCCCAAAAATGAGGGGTGAGCGTGGAACCTTCCTGGAGTGCTGAGCTCAGGGGCTGAGCGCGGCCAGGCCGGGCTGGGTGGGGCCCGTAGTCCCTGCCCACTGCAGAGCTCGGCTTTAAAGGACCCTCCCAGTCCAGACCACCCTGCAGAGTCCAGGTTTTGTAATCCCTGAAGGAAGCAGCTCTGGGGAGAGGCAGAGAGGCTGCTCGGGATCGGCCTCCACAGCCGAGGGCTCACGGCCTCCAGCTCTGCATTGGAGGAGGGGTCGGAAACTCGAGCTCTCAGAGCAGGGCCCCCCTGTGGGCCCAGAGCTCGGCCGGGAAATCCAAATCCAGGGGGGAAGAAGAGCCCGTGACTGCTGGGAAAAACAAGGAATGAGGAGCAAGGATGGAGAGGAACGCAAAGAAAGAAGCGACAGGGATTCCTTCACTGTCCAGGAGAGGAAACTGCACCTGCAGGAGGAGTGCAGGACCCTCACACAACACCTGGACACGTACCTGGGCAGGGCCCAGCAGCT